TCTACTCCCAGCTGATAAACACGTCCAACCATCCTGCAAACCCATGATGCTCCCCACCTGAACGAGCCTGTGCTCTGAGAATCCATCCTGGGGTGAACCAGCCTGAATTCTAATGTCACCGAAACTCACCCAAGAGTAGACAGACAGCTTGAGTCCGGGCAACTGGATTGGCCACTGGGAGCTGAGAAGGATGCCTCAGTCTCCACGCCCCAAGAGACAGGAAAGAAGGCAAGACTCAGAGGGAGCCCCAGAGGGCTGGTTCCCCACCTTGAAATGTCCACCTTGCCCCCTCTTAGAAGTCGGGTATAATACTTTAATTGTTCCCCAAGGCTCATCTCTAGTTCTCACCAGGTCCTGAAAACCCTGTCCTCATCTAAGAGTACAGCTTATAAGAAAACAACTGATGGGAATGGAGTAGGGGGGTAAAAGACATATACCCTAAATGCACTCACCTCCAGTGTCTACAGGTCCTGGTGCCTCTAGAAAGTATGTATTTCCTACTCCTGGGGGAATTCTGCACCACTGCGCGTGCGCAGAATTAATGTCTCCCGCACATTTCTTTGCTTCCCCGCAGAAAATGACTTTCTGACAGGGAAGCAAAGGGAAGCTGCAAAAGGAGTTACGCACCACTCCCTAGCTCAACAGGTACATCACTGCAGGCACCTGGAGCAGCCAGCAGAGAGGTAAATCACTGCAGGGCTGGGGACACCTGAGCCGGGATCAGCTGCTAGTCCCGGCCGGGCTGGAGGCAGGAGAGAACGGGACTACTTCTTCCTCTGCAAGGAGGGGCTAGGGGTGTGTCAGACCCATCCCCAGAAACTGCCCCCAGCTGCAAGAAGCTCAGCATCCTCCCCTGCTTCCTGCCCCCATTGCTCCTCAGCTCCGGGGAGAGGGGTCACTGTACAAGGAGCTGCTCCCCCATCCGCCCAACCCCTGTGTATCTGGACCTCCCATATCCAGACACCCTCACCAAGCCTCACCCGGTACACCCAGAACCCCACCCCACTGAACCTCAACCCCTGTATCTGGAGCCCCCCTGCACCAGTCCCCTGCCTCAGGACCCTGACCCCTGCACCCAGACCACCCTCCACTGAGCTTCCTGCACTCAGACCCCCATCCTGATAAGTTCTACCACCTGCACCACCCTGAGCTAGGGTGACCAGACAGCAAATGTGAAAAATCGGGACAGGGGGTGGGGGGTAATAGAAGCCTATATAAGAAAAAGACCCAAAAATCAGGACTGTCCCTATAAAATCTGGACATCTGGTCACCCTACCCTGAGCCCCCACATCCAGACCTCCATACCACGGACCCCCAACTAGCTGCACCCAGACCCCCCCTGCTGAGACCTCCACACCCAGACCCCTCTGCTGAGCCCAAACCACTTTCACCTGGAAGCCCCTGCAGAGTCCCATTGCCCCTGCAACCCTCCCCGCATCCAGATCCCCCCACACCTAGATCCCCCACTGAGCTGCCTGCACCCAGATTGCCCCACACAAAATGCTCTCACCTCACACCTGGATCCCCCCCACACTTGGATCCTGCCTGGTTGACCCTGCAAGCCCCACGCCTGGTGCACTTGGTGCAGAAGGGCAGGCCCAGACCTTGTGCTGTGTCAGGGTGAGGTGCAGCCTCACCACTGAGTCCTTGTCCCGGGGGGGGAGGCTGCAGGGTGATCTCCTACCTTCGTACAGCCAGTGGCCTGTGCTCCGCATTGCCGTGCTGGAGCCTCTGCATTTATTTATTGAGAAATAAATCTTGCAAAATTTTAAAATATTGTGTGCAGAATTAAATTTTTTGGCACAGAATGCCCTCAAGAGTAATTTCCTAAATGTACCACGCTTTTGTAAGCACATGTATGGTTCCAAGTACACTTATGAATCCTGCATGATTTTTCAGATGAGATGAGCTCTTGCAATTACTACATTCTGGCACAGTGAATTCTTCCCCCCACACCACCAGCTATAAGCTTTTAGTTTTACACATGTATTCAACTTTGTTTTCTTTACCAGAGCAAGTATTAATGATCAATACACTTTATTATGACAGGCTTTTTATCTAATGGTTAGGGCTACAGAGATAACATCTGAGGCAAGAAGTTCAAGATTTGATAAGAATTCTTCATAAAGACTTAATTACATCTGCCTAAAAGTTGGGGTTTTTTTTGGTTTAAATCCTAAATCTTGGTAAGGTATTATTTCAGCTCTGGCCATTAGCCACATAACCTCATAGTAAGGCATTATGCTTTCAGTATAAAATTATCTACTCAACTAAAATACAAGTAAATTTGTGTTGAAATACTAAGTCAGTCAGTCTTTTTCAAAATTTCCCCAACACTTTCGCCCCCTTTTTTTTTTGACATTTTTAAAAAACCAAAAACTATGGAATAGCCCAAAAAAGAACATTACGGAAAAAGCTACATTTCCTGTAATGTGTCAGTAAATTCAGCTTAGGTTTTCACAGGGGCTCAAGACAACAATCACTCTGACCCTGAAGCCATTCTAGATATTAACTCAAAGCAACTGAAGCTGAGCTTTTTAATGAGACTCTGTAGTAGGTACTTAAGAACTTTAGAATTCCATTGTCTTTAAGAAAAAAGAATTCTTCTCTACAAATCTGTGATTGGGAACTTGACAGAAGCATAAAGTATATAAAAACAAGGGTGTTAGCATTTAAGTAGCTATCCTTTTCAAGAGCAAAGTCACCCCTCACAAGATGGTTTGGTAGGTCTCTTGTTTCATAGCTAACCAGACCTCCTCAAAATTTGTGTGAGCTGAGTAAGTATAGACCATAAATATACATTTTTGCAACTGAACATATCAGGGCTGAATTAAGAAGTGTATTCATAATAGCCAAAGTTCCTCATTATATCAACTTAATGTATGTGAAGTATGGTGCTTTATCTGTTACAAATCTATTCTGTTTAAAGTCTATGTACAAAATATTTACATTTGCAGATGAGCACATTATATGAATAAAACTGGTTCCTACTGTTCTATTCAGGTTTTTACTTAAAAACAAACATCTTTGGTCCAAGAGCAGTAGCCACTTAACAGTAACAAAATATGATAATTCTTGCTACATACACATCACTTTCTCTTCCTACATGTTGTGTAAAATATAGAGAGCGTGCGTGCACACACTGATGTTATGGCATTTAAATCTTTAAACTGTAAATTCCTTTTTTGTATCAGGAATAAAAATCTCAGTTTTTACTATGTATTAGCAAAGTTTTGACTGCTGACATTACCATTCTTGTCTACTACGCAAGTAATGCTATTAGAACTAGAGTTAGAAACAAATGATGATTATTTACAGAAAAGAAGAATAATGTGACTGACAGAAGTCTGAGTTGTGGGATCAAGAGTCTAATCCCAGCCCTGCCATAGACCCATTCCCTGTCTGAGTTTTCCCATCTGTAAAGTGTACTGGAAACAAACAAAAAATATGTCCCAGGGATTATGCAATGCATAATTCGTTTGTGTAATACTGAAAATTTGGTTAGTGTGCTGTAAGTAAACATGAAAACACTTTTACCGCTAAGGTAGGAATATGGCAACTGTTTAGCAACTGGTGTAGCTAAAAGTAGAGGTCCTAGAAGTAGAGTCTGATGACCCAGAACACTTGGATGCCCAGGCTCCCAAATCACTCACATGCTTTTGAAAGTTTTACCATCAGTGTCTGATGCAAGAGGCCAGAAGTCAGGGTTTCTGGGTTCTAAACCCACTCTAGAACCAATTTGCTATGTAACATTGGCCAAGTCACTTCGTCTTTGTGCCTAAATCGCCCCAAAACCTCAAAATACTTTGCATATCCAAGTGCTGAACTCATTCTGCAAACAGCAATTTAAACCTCAACACCCCAGTAAGAGAGGTATTACCTCCTTTTACAGATTAGGAAACAAACACCGAGTAGTTAAGAGATGTGTCCAGAAGTCTCACCATGACTGTGACAGACACAAATTAGAGCCCAGGTATCCTGAACCCCAACCCAGTGCCCAATCCACGGGAATAGACTTTATGCTGCAATAGCGATTAAGGGCACAATCCCGCAAACACAGAGATTCGGCAATATCCGACAAGCGCTTTGAGATTCTCAGACACAAGATAAACTGATTGCAAAAGCGCACTACAGCTTCTCAGATGCACACCACAGAGGAGCCGTAGGGGGGATGCCTGAAGACCCCCGACTTTCGGTTTTGACCCAGAGACAGACCCCTTGACGCTGCACCTGTCACTACCAGCGGCCCTACATCAAAGCGAGGCGCGCACTAGCTTCTCCAACTCTCCGGGCAAAGGGAGGCCGGGAGCCCCGCACAACGAGCAGGGACCTTGCCGAGGCGACCCCGCGCTGCAGATACACAGCACTACCCCGGCCCGCTGCTGCCCGTGCGCCTCGCCCCCGCCCCAGGGCCAGGCCGCCCGCCGGAGCCACCTGCGCCGCCTGCACTTGTTGAGCAGGAGCAGCGTGCGCGCCGGGCCCCTCTGCCTTAACCCTTGGGAGCCAGGCGCTGTCGCCGTGGCCAGGCGCGAAGCGGCCGGGGTGGCCCGGGGGAGCGCCGGCGCCAACCGGGGGCGCAGCTGAGCTAAGCAGCCCCTTCCCAAGCCGCAGCACCGGAGCAATGCGGAGCGGCCCGGGCTGGGCCTGCCGGCGCCGGGGATCCCCCTCTGCCGCGGCCTCCCCCGCCCGTCATCCCCCGCCCAGGGAGGCCCCGTCATCCCCTACCCCCTCCCGCTACATGGGGGAGGGGAGACCCCGTCCCGCCGCCGCCGCGCCCTTCACCTGGGCCCCTGGGCAGCCCCGGCCCCGCCGTGCGCAACCCGCTCCCGGGCCACACAGCGGGGAGCCTCTTCCAGGGGGCAGGGGCCAGGGCAGCGCGCACCTCCTGCCCCGCGGCGGCAGCTCAGGCCGCAGAGCCAGGGTCGGGGAAGCCCCAGGCAGCGGCTCCGGGGGGTTCCAGTACACCCCGCCCGGAGCCCCTCTCCCCGCCCGGCGCTCACCTCCTCTGGGATGGCCGGCTCGCCGCCGCCGCTGCCCCCCAGGAACGAGGCCCCAGCTCCGGGCGGCGGCTCAGGCTCCATGTCCCCGTTGAAGAGCGAGGCCCCCTCGGAGCTACTGCCGCTGCTCAGCGCCGCCATCTTGGGTCGAAGCGCTGGAGGAAGGGGAGGGGGAAGCCGCGTCCCCGCTGCCAGGCCGCCCCCAGCCGCGACCCGTAGTGGGAGGGGGGAGACCACACAACCCGGAGAGCTCCAGCGGCCCGCACCACTAGACGTCACACCCGGTCCGTGACGTCACCTGTAATAGCCGATGTCACTGCGCATGGGCCGTCTGACGTCACGGGGAAACACCTTGACGTCACTGCGCGACTAAACGTCATCCAGGGAACTCAGAGGGCGCGGGATGTAACCCCGCCCCTTTCCTATAAGCTCCTCCCCGACCCCTTCACTAACATCCTTAAAGCCCCTTTCCAGCCTCTCCCAGCTCCCTTCCATTCTTTGCCTCTCCGCAATATCTGCATAGTACTCCCACCTCAGCCCTAGAGCCTATTCCATACACACCCTCCCTCCCTGCTCCCCATAACCTTTCCCCTCTCTACACATACCTCCCTCTCCATAGACCCGTCCTTCCAGCCAGCCCCTAACAGCCTTCCCCCACCTACCATCCTCCCAGGGCCTATGCGCTCTTTCCTTACCCAATGCCCCAGCCTTTCCTGTGGGTCTCTCCTCTCATACAGAGATGCCCTCTCTCCCCCTCAGAGGCCACACCTCAAGACTCTTACCCAAGTCAGGGTAGAAAATCCTTTTGGTATGGTGTTAGCCTGTTGATCCCTCATTCTTCCAACTTAGCAATTAGTAGTAGTATAAAGTACTGAACTAGCATATTTTCACCTAAAAATACACCATTAGCAAATCACGCAAGGGCAGGAAGCACAATGACAAGTCACTAGTTGGAAGTAGGGTACTAACTTCTGCTAAGGTGGGGTCTCTACTCGGAGAGGGGGCTCAAAAGGTTAAAGTCTGGCTCTGCTGTAGGAAGACAGTCTTCCAACAAGTGGAGGGGGGTTCAAAAGCAACAACAATACATCAGAATGTGCTGCTCCTCTACTAACCTGGCATGCCACAAAGCATGAAGTAACTAAAAAAAAAAAAAACACCTTTGTACTGAGAAAATATTACATAAAAAGAAAAGTCATTTGTAAAGAGTATTTGGGACAAATTTTTCAGCTGTGACCACTGATTCTAGGGTGACCAATCTGAAGTGCTTAGGATCTGATTTTCAGAGGTGTTGAGTGCCTGCAGCCCCCATTGGCTTTATTTGGAAACTCATGCCCTAGATGTCTCAATTTAGACACCAAGGTAAAATCCTGGCCCCACTGAAGTCAATGGGAGTTTTGCCAGTGGTTTCAGTGGGACCAGGACTTCACTTCTGAAATTAGTGGGCAAAATGTGGATATAAAAAAGGAGGGTGTGAGAAAGCTGAATGTAAACTTCAAAGGGCCCACAATCACAATTCTGTATATTTTTATGGGTAAAATATTCTCTTCAAAACTACAGTATGTTCTAGAACCTTAAGGCTTTAATCCTGAAGAAGAAGCCATAGGCACAAGGATCTGCCTGTGCAGATTCAGTTGAATGATTGGGGTCTAAGGGTGCATATTTAAGTACTGAATATCAGAAGAGTCCAAAGTTAAGATTGTACAGGCAAAATTATCTTTAACCCCTTTACAATACTGTCCCTAATTATATAACATACTGTTTCCCAAATTGCAGTTGGAAAAAAATGCATAATAAATGAGTGCTGACAATATTATTAAAATACATTTCCAAGAGAGATAATACGTTACAGTATAAGTTAACAATATACCAGAACATTGACAATAAAAATTATTATACAATAATGGGGAAATATTGCAAGATGCTACAACTGTTTAAATGTATTAAAAAACTATGATGTAACATTTGAGAAATGTTATGTAAGCATGTATGTAAGACATTTTTATAGACATGCACAAAAGGAACAGTTAAAGGAACTCTGCCAGCTTGAAAAATCAGTTTTCAGACATAATTGTAACTAGAGTAGATACATTTAACACCTAAGATTATTAAAACAGAGAGGAGTTAAAAACAAAACACCTCTAATATTTTCAGTTTGTTTATTGACAGCCTGAGCCTCCAAACATTATGCCCATTCTTAACTTTATTTATGTATGTAAGTGTTTGCAGGATCGGGGTTTTAGTTGCTCTCTTACTGAAAATATTCTCATGATATCCTCAAGAAAGCAACAGAAAAACCTCATGCGCATTTTTTAAAAGATTACCAAAAATACATCAAAACAAACAAACAAATCAAGCCATCCTATTTAAAGGATGTTCTGTCACAACCTGGAATATTTTAAATTAGTCAATTAAACAGATTCAAGTTGACAGCGTCCCTTTGAGATGGCACAAGCATCCTTAACTTTTGCGTTTCCTGACATTTGACATGCAGCCTTCTCATTCTATTAATGTAGTTTTGGGATGCTGAATACTCTATAAAATATATATACAATAACATTTGGTTTTATATGGCACCTTTCACACTCAAGTTAGTGCTTTGTAAAAGCACTTGGAAATGAGTTATGTGCTGGTGGTACTATAAATATTAAGTAAGTATAACAGCTATTTATTGTATGAGTTCAGCAATAGCTCCCATACAGGCTGGAACGTTAGATCCTGTTTTATTAAGAGGAGGAACTTTGGCCGCAAGTCTGGTCAAAATTATTTCCTGCTCTGTTCAAAAGGCCACACAATATTTAACTCCCACCTGGACAGCCACCAGAGATATGCAGAAGGGATTTGTTTAACAAGTCATCTGACACACTACACCTTAATCACACGGCACCTCCCTACTAGGGCAGTACAGTATCAGCACTGAATAGAAGCTCAAATTTTTGTGTCACAGGTGGCTCGGAGTACTACCACCACTAACCAACACTATGTAAGAGAACCAAACATAAAAACCAAGTTACTTGCCAACTTTGTAACTTTATGCCTTACAAATCTGTGTTCTAAACATACTGTTGAAAAGATAATAGTCAACAATGCCCTATGTGGGATAAGAATCTGAAGTGTGGGCAAAAAGTGTACACAGCCTGTAAGCAAAACACAGATTAGGAAATAAATGTAACGATGAAGATTAGAATGTTGAGAGAGATTTCCCTGTACTTGTAAGGAAATGAAAAGAAGTGCAGTATTAAGTACGTATCTGGTAGGCACATTCCTTAGGTAGCTGATGTTAATGAAAAAGTCACTGGGTGAAATTCATCCCTGGTGTAACTCCTTTTGCTTCAATAGAATTTACTACAGGGATGAATTTGGCCTTACTGTGCAAAGTTTAGTCATAATCCATGTTTTATTCTCCAAACAATTTACAGTCAGGGTGTAAGTCTAACATCAGCACCAGTAGCCTACCATCAATCTACAATTTTTTAGTACATTTTCCTACTGCCTTTAATAATCCCACATTGCTTTGTTCTTGCGCATTTTATTTTATCAGGAGGTTTGCGTTCACATGGACAGTGTTAGTCATACTATGTTATTATTATTTATACTGTGTAACACATTAAGGGCTGCAAGTATGAACCTTAATGCTGCCAACTGAGAACCAGAACTAGAATTAGAGCTAACAGTTACCACCTAATACATATGGTGTGGGTGGGTTGTTTTTTGTTTGCTTGTTTTGTTTTTAAATAAAAGAGAGAATGCAATGCTGGTAAACAGGGCTGGCTCCAGGCACCAGCCGACCAAGCACGTGCTTCGGGCAGCACCTTGTAAGGGGCGGTGAATCGGGGTAGCTTTTTTTTTTTTTT